TCCAAAGTCCCATGACACAGCAGGACTAGAATCCAGGCCTCTGGGCTACTATGCTGATTTGTTCTCCACAGTGCCGAGTAGCCTTATTTCTTCGGGCTTATGGTGAGAAAAGACCAGCCTGCCAGCCAGTCCCTCCCTGGATTAGCTCCCTGTGTGCTCTCTCCAGAGAGTCTTCCTGAGTTACACCCGTGCAGTGTGGCAGAGCAGAAAGAGCATGGGTGTGGGAACGTGGCAGATTTGGGCTTGAAGCCCAACCCTGCTGCTCCCCTAGCTACGCAACCTTGAACAAGTTACTTAACCGCGCAGTTTTGTCATCTGGAAAGTGGAGATATCAGTACCTCCCTTGCAGGGTTGTTGTGGCAGATTACATGAGATAATGTGCCTCAAGCGTCCCTGAAGCATAATGCCTGGCAGGTGGCATGTGCTCCACTGATAGGAACTGTTGTTATTCTTTTACCCCTCCCAGGGTTCTATTTCTGCTTCCAGCATATTATCCGGCTACCTGTCTCTGGTGGTCCTGGGATTGTGCAGGGGCTTCTACAGCAACTGAGCTAACCAGGGCACTTCTCAAGGTTGTTTAGGAAGGCAGCCAAGGCATACCTTGGCTTATTTGTTTTTAGGGCAAATGCAGGTTAAGAAAGCAATCTTTGGACTGGGTTGCAGCCCAAGAGTATATTCTTTAGGACAATAAAATAAAATTTAAAACATTTGGAAAGTGTGGTGTGTGTGTAATTATGCATGGGTGAGATAATTTTCACCACGCAAAAAGACTTTCCCATGTATACAAAGACTCATGGTAGGATTCCTTTAAGCCACTAGTTCCTCTTAGGGCTCTTACTCTGGAGTTAATTTTCCTAGCATGATTCACACCAACCTTCCAGGAAAGCGCTTTCTGCTTCCTACCACTTGTCACCCCGGCCTTCCTGCACTTTCCTTAAACTTTGAGCCAAAGCAGAAGAATCTTGGATTGATAGCAATGTAGTTGCCACATTTTATTGATATACCATATACTATAAGATGCATCACGATTTTATGTATAACCAAGAAAGAAAAACAAACACTGCTTATTGTAATTTTAAGACTTAATTGATTGTAAAACAAATCCTTATTTCAGAAATGCTAAAATGTGAACACAGATATGCCTCTTAACAATTAATGAAATGAAGTGTCTGAGGACCAGGATCAACTGGATAGGTTTGCATACTCGCAGAATGAGATCATACAGCTGGGGCTAAATCCCCAAAATATACTTGACTTAACATTATTTTTTCCTTTGTTAAAGAAACCACTAATCTACAGGCTCTGTGAGGGCGGAGACGGGGTCTGTTTTGTTTACCACTGTATCTCTACCACTTCACTCATAGTAGGTATTCAGCAAATATTTGCTGTATGAATAAATAGAACAAAGTCACAACATGAAAGAGACGGAAAGCCCACAGAAGAAAATAAATCATTCATAATTCCCCCACTGTGGGTATTTTGGCTGATTTCCTTCAAGTCTTATTTCCTATGAATATGCCCTTTTATACACATGTAAATATAATGTATTATTAGATTTAGCTCTGGGATGTGTTTTTGTATTTCTCTATTAATATAAATGAAACGATGAAATGAGATGATGCGGAAATGCTTTGAAGACTGTAAAATGTTTAACAAATATCTTATTAGTTATAATAATCATGAAAATACAGACATGAATGGGGCTGATTTTCTGAGAATACACTTCAAAGCTAACAGCGAATTTGCCCTCCAAAGCTGGGAATATGTTCTATTTCCTCATCCTACTCACCAAGGGGAGTCCTTCTGTTTCATATTGGGAAGGCAAAGAGAAACTTAAGGCTTCCTAGAAGTCATAGCTCCAACTTCCCACCCAGCCCAGAAATTTCTTCCATCTCACTAATGGAAGATCATCCAGGACTGGGGGAGGAAAAAGCACATCTCTCAGGCTGATGAAAAATAGCAGCCTACAGAGAACCTCCTCCTCTCCACCCTTTACCAGCGGTGGGGAGAAGTTACACACTGGGTTCCAAGGAATGCTCTTCACTTATTCTGCCTGCTGATAACAATGCAGATAGCAGAGAGATGTCAACACAAGTAAGTAATTCATGACAGTGGGGGTAGGTACGTTCAACAAGCCACAAAGTCAGATTTGCCATGGACAACTAATTAAAAATTTACTTTTAGATAGTCACAATTTATACACATATTGATGAGTCTAACCTGTGCCTGGTTCTTTGAAGGGATGTGGGTTTATTCATACAATAGAAGGGAGTGCTGACCGATTTTCTCTCCTTGATCAAACTTTGGCCAGGCTCTTCTGGGCCTTCTTCTCTTCTAAGCCTCACCCTTGGTTGGCCTATGAAGACTTGAACAAACACTAGCATAGTTTCTAACAGCTCAAGGCCGCATCCCTAGAATGCCTCTATCCCCTCTTAAAGTGCCTGCCTGAGAAAACTCGAGGCTGCTAAGAGAATTTACTTACTGTTTGTTTCAGCCAACACCTGAATATAGGGCCCCTGTGTCCCCATCTCTGTGGGAGGGTAGGAGCCTAACTAACTTCAATAAGCACCAGTTAGCAAACCCAGATGCTTTTCACAGGGACCAATACCTTGTTTTTTGTGATTTTTTACTTCTCTGACTCTGCTGCTCAAGCCCTTGCTGTTCCCTCCACCCATTCCCTCATTCTCTCTTTAAAACACCCAAGGCCTCTCTATGAATTGGGGTTGAGTTCAGCTCATGCTGCACCCTCTTCCCTACTGCAAAAGTAAATAATTGATTAAAATCTGCCCTCGCCGTGTTAACCCATGTCCAGCTTTGTTTACTTTTGACAGTACTCAGGAGCTCACCTAGTCTAGTAGCTCAGGCTTTCAGCTCACCTAGGCTGCCTGTCCATCTGCATGCCTTTACTGGATAATCGTTGTTCTCTCTCTTCTTGACTCTCAAATCCTTAGCCTTGAACTTTGCCCCTGCCATCCTTATGCCCTCCTTTGTCCTCAAGGATACATTTTCCTGGTTGCACCATTTGGTTTCTACCTTGCATACCCTTGGAGATCCCCTTTTCTGCTTGCACCACTTGTCTCAGTCTCTGGGAGCCCATAGAGGCCAGACTAACCTTCCAGCACCTCTTGCCCCTGCATCAAAGCTGCAATCCCATTCCCTGTGTGCTTCAGTGAAGGTTGACCTTGGCCTTTATTAACTGCCCAGGCATTGTGTACAGGGCACAGTTTGTGAGGCCTACGCCATCAACACTTTCCCAGAGAGTAAAAAATAATATCGCTTATGTATAGATTTATGACCAGTTTTTTATTTTATTTCATTTTTTTTTAAGACAGGGTCTAGCTCTGTCTCCTAGGCTGGAGGGCAGTGGTGCAATCTCAGCTTACTGTAGCCTGTACCTCCCAGGCTCAAGTGATCCTTCCACCTCCACTGCCCAAGTAGCTGGGATCACAGGCATGCACCACCATGCCTAAGTAATTTTTTTTTTTTTTTTTTAAATAGAGATAAGGTCTCATGATGTTGCCTAGGCTGGTCTTGAACTTCTGGGCTCAAGTGATCCTCCTGCCTTGGCCTCCCAAAGTGCTGGGATTACAGGCATGAACCACCATGCCCAGCCCTACAACCAGTTTTTAATGCAGAATATCACTTTATAAAATGGCTAAACAGCTGTGATCAGTACCAGATGAAAGATGACATTTGAGCTAGTTAGGGTAGGAGCCTAACTAACTTCAATAAGCACCAGTTAGCAAATCCAGATGCTTTTCACAAGGACCAGCACCCAAGCCCCTTCCTGTTTTTTGTGATTTTTTACTTCTCTGACTCTGTTGCTCAAGCCCTTGCTGTTGCCTCTACCCACTCTCTCATTCTCTCTTTGAAACACCCGGGCCTTCTCTATGAATTGGGGTTGAGTTCAGCTCATGCTGCACCCTCTTCCTTATTGCAAAAGTATATAACTGATTAAAATCTGCCCTCACCATGTCATCCCATGTCCAGCTTTGTTTACTTTTGACAGTACTCAGGAGCTCACCTAGGCTAGTAGCTCAGGCTCTCAGCTCACCTAGGCTGCCTGTCCATCTGCATTTTAAAAGCAAGCTGAGCTCATCCATTATGTGTATGTATCTTTCCTTGCTCCTCCATCGTGGTTCTCCCTGAATCTCCCTTTCCCACACCCCAGAGCGGGTGCCTTCACTACTCACTGACTTAGCTCTGCCTAAGGTCTCCCCCAGAAACTTGTCTTAGATGATTCGTTTAGGATTCCCTCCCAGTTACAGTCTTTCCAGCGTTTATTCTAGGAAAACCAGGCAACAAGTATCCAGGAGATAAGAGAAAGAAACGGAGTCCGTGTCTCTCCGCAGTCCTGCTTTGAGACTGCCTCCCTACTGAGAGTTTGCGAAGGTCTCCCTTTTGAGATGTAAGACTCGCTTCAGACGTGAGGCTGTGCCCGTCCTCCCTCCACCCACAGACAGAATTGATGCAGCAGGCCCAGCTGGACGGGTGAGGTCCCCTCCCCAGCGCTATATCAAAGAGAGCAGGCAGGAGCCCACGTAACAAGGGTTTGCTCCACTTAAACTCTGTGATGGGAGAGGGACGCCTCCACCCCTTTTCTTTTTGTAGGCTGCTTTGAATTGTATTAACACAAGTGATGAAACATATCAAACCCTGGTTAGCAGTTTCCCTTAGCATCCCCTGGCCAAAAAAAAAAAAAAAAATTTTTTTTTTTTTTAAATTAACTTGTGCAAAAAGTTAACTGTAACAGAATCGTCTGGAAAAGAAAAAACCCAACCAGCTTGGTGAAAAGAAAAATGAGCCGGGTTTCCTTCATGCCCAATTTTAGGAACCAGCAGGTGGTACAGGAGAACTGGTGAAGAAGGTTAGTCAACACCTTTCTCCAGTTTCACAGTAAAGCCCTTGACCAAGTAGGAATTCCATTTCTCCTCCTTGTGCCTCTGCAGGGGGTCAGGGGAGGTTGAGGACCATCAATCCTGGGAGCCCAGGGAACTTACCCTCTGCTCCTGTGTGGCCACAAAGGTCTGGAACCCTGGAGCCACCCCAAAGCCCAGCTCTTGGATGAAAGGTGGCTCAGACTGACTGTGGATCTGAACTTTCACTCCTGCTTCAAATGTCGTTTCCTCTGAAAGAACAAAGACGGACAGAGCCATGGGTCAGTAACAACAGATGCTCATGGAGTCCTGGGATTGAAAAGCTCAAAGGGATGCTGAAAAGACCCTGTGATAAGCAGAATAATGGCCTCCAAAGGTGTCCACATCCCCACCTCCGGAAACTGACTAGGTTACCTTACGCGGCAAAAGGGACATTGCAGGTGCGATTAAGTTAAAGCTCTTGAGATGGAGAGACTATCCTAAATTATGGAAGTAGGACCCAATGTAATCACAGAGGTTCCTATGAAAGGGAGGCAGGAGGATCAAGGTCAGAGAGAGAATGGAAAAATGCTATGCTGCTGGCTTTGAAGACAGAGGAAGGAGCCATGAGCCCAGGGATGCAGGTAGCTTCTAGAAGCAGGAAAAGGCGGGGGAATGAATTTTCCCCTAGAGCTGCCAAAAGGAACACAGGCCTGCCAACAACCTTGATTTTATTGAGCCTAGGGAAATCCATTTTGGACTTCTGACCTCCAGAATTTTAAGATAATGAATTTGTGTTGTTTTCAGCCACTACATTTGTGGTAATCTGTTGCAGCAGCAATGGGAAACAAATTCAGGTCACTTCGCCAGGCCAACTCCTTGCCTCAGTTGCCAAATCTGTAGAATGGGATTATAAAATGAGTAAAACTCCTTTGTTTTATTGACTAACTTTTCTTCTGAGTCATGAGCTGAAGGTGAGGACATCAGGAGGAAGAAAACATGGTGACACAGCAGTGGAATAAAAATGCAAGGCCTTCTTGTATGCCAAGGTGTTTGCCCCTTGGGGCTGCAATGGCCAAGTAGAAGAGAAGCTTCCTTCTTTTTTTTCCATTGGCAGAAGAAATGGCCCTTGGCAGTGGGAGGTTGGGGGCGGTGCAGAGCCATCATCCTAAATGTTTAGTGCTCACAATAGGTGGAAAATGAACTTATGGGACTGTATAAGCCTTTACCAGATCCCTTTCTCTGTCTTACCTTCTCCAAATAGTCTGCAGAATGAGCTTTCCAAATGTAAATTGTGTAACTCCCTCCCATGTTTCCAAGGACCCCAGGCTCCTTACCCACCCCTTCCCTAGCCTTGTTCTGAGCAGCCTCTGTCTCGTGGCACCATGCGGGGCTGCCTGGATTGGGCATCACCGGTCCCCACTCTGCACAAATGCATCTCCTTCTGCCCAGAGTGTCTTTCTACCTTGTCCACCTGACCATCTTCCCACTTGTCACTGAAGATTCAGCTACCCAACCCCACCCAAAGCAACTCTTTCCCTTGCTCTGTTGTATCTTCCACATCTGCCCGCTGGAGCCCCTGCCACAGCATGTCATCATGAGCCTTTAACTGTTTCCGCCAGCAGGCTGGAGCATCCTGAGGCCAAGTTCTGGGCTGTCTCTCTGGACCTCAAAGTTCCTTTACAGGGCCAGGCATACACCAGGCACTCAGGAGATGCCTAATGAATGAATAAATGGGAGATTTATGGGTTAAACCTCAATCACTTATGAATGGACAAGGCCAGCCTGGAGTCCAAATCAAGGAATGTTCTCAAACTAAAAAATGGGGAGAGAATGGATGAATGCAGGAATGAGAGAAGATGATGATGGGGTTGGGGGTCAGGGATGGAGAGGGGGAGGACATGTCAGCACTCAGGCTGTGTTGGGGAGGGGGTTTGGGGACACACTAAAGCTGGTACAGAAGAGAGTGGCTGGGAAGGAAGGGCTGGAGCCAGCCACGGGAAGGGCACGACCTAGGGAGAGGGTGGGGGCCATTGACTGAGGTAGGCGCAGGGGTCTGGAGCAGGGTGAGAATTCCAAGGCCAGGGGCTGTGTGGAAAGAAAGGCCTAGTAAGCAGACAGGGCCCCAGGGAAGGGTAGGCAGGGCTTTCATCATTTAGACGAGGAGACCCTCAGCCAGGAATCCTTTTGGATATGGTTCACGGAGTGGGAGAGAATCCAGACAATCTACAAACACATCCCACTTCCCTCCAGCACAGTCATTGTTCTGTGGTTTCTGTACAGCATCACCCTGTCCAAACTCCTGTCCTTATGCTCCTGGATGCCAGTGGCTTTGTGTCAATCTCTCCCATCGATGGTGAATTCCTCAAGAGAGGAGACCATATCTTATTCAGTCCAGGGCCCTGTCACCTAACACAGGGCCTGGCCCTCAGAAGGACCCTCAAGGAAGGTTTTTAGATATGGGAGGAGGACTTCAGGAGAGGGAGAACTGGATGGAATGAGGCGGTTGAATAGTCATCTTTCAGTGGCTGTGTTTTCAAAAGTCTGCCCAAGACGGGGGTTGAGGAGAGTGTGGAGCCTGAGAAACAGACTCAGATGGGGAAGAAGGGTGAGTGTGGAGGGCTGTTGGGATGACAGGGATGCCCCTGCTGGGAGGAACTGAAGGCTCCTTCAGTGAGCCGTGGGAGGGAACAGGAGAGATGCCAGAACTTGTTTTTGAGAGCTAGCTGAGGCCGTGTGTGCCTGCTATACAACTGAGCTTAAGAAATCTTACAGCCAGTAAGACAGGCTCAAAGGAGAGGACCTGTGGCTTACAGGTGAAATGAGAAATGAAGCCTTCCTGTCAGAAATGGCATGAGTAATGGGCAAAACAGACAGGCCTGGTGTGCCTCTCTTAGTGAGAACTGCGCAAGGCTAATCGAACTGGGTTCGGATTTGGAAGTGGTGCTAGCTTATTCTGAAAGCAGCAGTAGCTGTAGCCAAGAGTAAAATCCTAAAGTAGCCTCGTTTTTTACAAACACCCAGTGGCTGGATGAACATGAGTGGGAGCAGGTGATAGGTAAGGTTTCTTCTCTCTTTAGAACACTGCTGTCCACTGGAACTTTCTGCTAAGATGGGAATGTGGTATTCCCTGTGCTGCCCAACATGGTAGGCGCCAGTTACAAAAGGTGGCTTGTGTGACTGAGGAACTGAATTTTTCATTTTATTTAATGTTAATTAATTAAAACTTAAGTTTAAATAGCCCCATGTGGCTACTGAAAACATTACTGGATAGCACAGTTCTAGAATATCCAGCTATGAGCAGACTACAGCCCACCCAGAGCTGAGGGGGTGACAAGGGCTCCGCCATATTGCCTTCCTAAGCAGGTGCTCTGGAGAGGCCCTTTTCTGGAGTCCTGGGTAGTTTGGGCAGGGTTCTGAGCAGCAGATCAGTGTGTCTTCGTGGTCAAACCACGACTTTAGTTCCAGATCCTCTACCCTGCTTTCCCCAAAGCCCTATTTGCACATCTCCAGATGCATTTCTTTCTATTTCTTACCAGAATTGCCCTTGGTGTCCCTCTGAAGATTGCTTTCCAGGTTGGTAGTGAAGAGCACCTCCCTGCCTCACTCTCTTCCCTTTCCTGGGCATGGCACAGTGTTGAGTTGAAGACCCAACTTGAGAGCTGAAGTTACCAAATGTGGACTGTTAGAGCCAAGGCAACCTCACACCATCCACTTTGGAGGTTCCCAAGCTAGAATGCAAGTTAAAATCTCCTAGACGGCTAGGGTGAGGCTTCCTGGGATCCACTCCCAGAAATTCTGATTCAGTTACTCTGGGGTGGAGACCAGGAATCTGCATTTCCAGAAATTCTGATAAAGGTCCGAGGTCATCTGCCTTTGGGCAGTGATCTAGTCCAGGAAGGGGAAGTGACTTGTCCAGTGTCACACAGCAAGTCAAGAGCAGAGCAGGGGCTAGAAGCCAGGTCTCCTGAGTTCTGATGTGGCACTCTTTCTACTCTACCAGGAGTGTGGTTTATTTAGTGTGAGCAGATGCCTTAATTCATAGCTCTGGAGTTCTGAATGGGGGCTGAGGGCATGGGATATCTTTTTCTTTGTCATCACCCCTAATGTCCCTAGCACAGTAGCTGGCACAGAGCAAGGCTCAATAAATGTTTGTTGAATGGAAGAAATGAGTGAGGAAGTATCCCTTGCTTGTGTCTGCTGTTCCCTGCTGTATCTGGGCAGCTGTGAGTCTGCCCAGGTTCTGGAGAACACTGGTAAATGCCAGCACCCCATAATTCAGGAATGCTCACCTGCTGGGATGCAGGTGGGGCTGCACACACAACAACAACACAGCAACAATAACAGTAACAATAACTGGGACTGCACTCACAGTCTGTGGGTCCCAGTGCCAAATGAAAATGCAGGACCCCTTGTTAAAAAAAATGTTGTTAAAAATTTATAAAAGTAAGCATTGCTATTAAAAAATAAAAGAATTTCAAGACAGCAATCTCAAGAGCATTAAACTAAGTAAGTGGCCCTTCTGATTGTGGGCCCAGTGTGACCACCCTGATAGTAACAACTCAAATTGGTGCTGGACAGAATCATTCACACCCTCATATTTGTCTTATCGGCAACTGATTCAACGCTAAGCTCCTTCAAAGAGTGTAGGTCCCTGGGCAGTGAATGATTTGTTTACACATCATGAACACCAGGATTTAAGAACAGAAAGAGAGAGAGGGAGAGAGAGCACGCAGACAGAAAGGGAAAGCTACTACATACATAGTATGTAGACAGTATGCACATGGGAGTTCTTGTTAATTGGCACCAAGTTGAAACCCAGACAACGTAACATGAAAGATAATGCTGAACCAAGAGGAGTGTGGTAAGATGGAGTTCAACCTGCAGAAGTCACAGTCTCCCAGCGTTTTCCAAGAGCTTGGCCATAGATGGTACAAGGTGAGATCTACCTGGCCAGGGAGGGAGGTGCATTTTCTGAATATGCAGAAAGGATATGGGAGCCCTGTAGGAAGAGGCAGGAGCAATGGGCAGAATGCATAACGGGGCAGGGAAAGTGCATCACGATAAAAGAAGCTAAAATCTTTCATGTTGGCAAGTTACAGAAAACATGCCAAGAAAATAAACACTGGAAAGAAGTAGGAAGAAAAGTTTATCTGAATAGCTAGGGGGAGTTTTCAGAGCTCAGAGAGTGAATGTGCTGATACAAAGCAATCTTGCTTTGGACAAAAATGACTTTATGACAGTGGCTGAGTGAGGGAACCCTAGCTCCCCA